CCCCAAAACCCCAAAACCCCAAAACCCCTGAATGAGGTCTAGGAAGATAAGTCTTAACAGCTGGAAGGGTCTCGATTTATATTGGAAAATGCAAGTTTTTGGGCCCGAGGAGTTGAATATTATTTGATGTAAAATATATTAAGTGTGATTAATTTGAACACAAAATTGAGTGTAAAAATTTGTTACAATTTTATTCTTAAGTCATCTATGGTTCCAGGATAATTCTTTTCATAAATATTTACAACGGAATTATAAGAACTTATAATTTTATCATATTAATGGAGGCAAAAATACAGTTTATATCCTAAATTCAAGTCTCTAAATTTTAAAATTCAGTATTAAATGTTTATTTTCCCTTAAATCTAAGATCTCATAATATTCAACTTGTTATTTGAAATATTTGGTTGAGCTTCTGCTATTTAAATCGACCTATTTCAGGGCAAGTTTCTTCTCCTGCTGTTGTGGAAAGTAGGTGGACCGAGATATTTGTGAATCCCTAGAAGACCCACAGGAGATATAGAGTTGGCTAGCTTTTTCATCCCCTGTTTGTCTTTATTTTCTATCATGTTTTTGACTTTCTCCTTTCTCTTCTGTCCTAAAAAGTCATGTTGAGAATTACATTCTTTATTTATAGATATATTTCTTCTAACCGCCAAGCTAGTGTTTCTCCCTTTCTTCATTGGGGTGATTCTAAGTGGACTATTTGGGAACTCTAGTCGTGAATCTATCCTTCTAGCATTTTTATGGGAATAAAGTCCAGTCCCTCTTTCTTCTATCTGGGCTACTTCATATATAACATCTTCATGGTCAAATTGTTTTCTTCTTTGGATCCTACAGATAAGAAATAATGTACAATTTATCATCCTGTATACTCTGAAGTTGAATTAGATCAGCATTTTGTTCATTAGAGCTATCTTTGTTAAGAGAGTCTGAAATTGACCCAGAATCTATATGATTATAGTTCAAGTACCAGAATGAATAGATTTCACTGGCTTTTCACCCTGCTTTCCGAAACTTGAAAATTTTGAATTTATATTATTTGAAAACCCAGATAAGTTTGACCTCTGATGAGCTAGTCGAATTGGAGTTTCTTGTATCTTGGAGTTAACCACTCCTCCATAAGAACTACACCTTCTTTGTTTCAGATCTATCTCGACGTTAGTTTTCTGTATTATTTAAACTTAAATTTACTTTTCTTGTTGATTCATTTGGACCGCTTTTTGAATAGTGCTAACTAGTATTGCCTGATGGGGTGGAATAGAACGAGTTGAAGATATTCCACAACTTGATTCCATCACAGAAGTGCCTTTTCTTCTCTTGTCAATCTTAAGAATCCTATCTCTCACGTCTGGGAACATGAAATTATACATAGTTTCTTTGAATCGTGATGCTTTCTCGCTTAATATAAAATGAGCAACTGGTGCCCAATTTGATTGGTCATCAATAAATTTCATTCCTTTCTTCTCTATAAGAACATTTGCGTGGTAAGGATGCATGAAGTATTGCATTTTCATTTGAAGCCTGCTTCTTGGACCATCAATTAGCATTCTCCTTTTCATTTTCCTCGCATATTTCTTTTTTAATGACTCCCATGGGTCTAGAATATTTAAGGCTTTTACTTTTGGAAAAAGTTGAATTCTTGCTGATCTAAAAAATAAATAAAAGTTATTACGTTTGATTGCCCTGAATTCCTTCGATTTCTCTCATTAAAATTGATGGGATTTGATGCAATTTTAGGCTCTGCCTTGATGCCTAAGTTGTCTGATGGCTTATTTTAGAGATTCCAAAGTATTGGCGTTATACTTTTTAGTATTTTTAATAATTGTGTTGACTCCGTTCTGAAATTATGCTCGTGAATTACCTTTAGCTTACTAAGATTAGTTTGGATTCTTTTCTTCTTAATAGAACTTCTTCTCCTCTTATTAACATCTTTTTCTTTCTTTTGTTGCTTCAGAAAAATGTCAGGTATCATGCTCTGTCTCCTCTCTTGAGCCATTATGCTATAAATTTTTATAATTTTGCTATCAATATGAATATTAATAAAAGGGGTTTTGGGGTTTTGGGGTTTTGGGGTTTTGGGG